GGGGAGGGGGAGGGGAAAGGGTGGGGAAGGAGGGGGTGGAGAAGGGAGAGGGGTTGGGGGGGGAGAGAGAAGGGATGGGGAGGGAGAGGGGTGGAGGCGGACGAGGTGGTGGAAGAAGGGGAGGGGTGGAGAAGGTGGGGGGGTGGGGAAGGGAGGGGTGGTTGGGGAGAGAGGCGGGCCAGCCATCACCACAACACCAAGATCACCTCCCGAACCACCCCCAACCACCCCTCCACTTTTTCTCTGGGAAAGAGAAAGTGAAAGTGGCTGGGTGGCGGCCATCACCACCAACATCACCTCCCCTTCACTTCCTCTTCCCCTGTGCAGCCCCAGCAGCCCAACAGCCACACCCACCCAAGCAGACGATCGCCTAACAAGTAGCCCCAGAAACCCATCAGCCCCACCGGCCCAGCAGCCCCACCAACCCCACCAGCAAGCCCAGCAACAGCCCCACCTGCCCCACGAGGTGGCCGCTGCCGAAGTGGCCCTCAGCAGCCTCGGCAACCCACCCCACACCACCCGGCCCACTGCCCCACAAAGCCCAGCACCAACCCCACCTGCCCCACAAAGCCCAGCACCAAGCCCACCTGCCCCACGAGGTGGCCGCTGCCGAAGTGGCCCTGCAGCTCGTTGTTGATGGAGTCGCGCACCGTCACATAGATGCGCTCCGTGCCAGCCGCAGCTGCGTCTTGAACAGCGTCAGATCCACCGCCGACTTGCTGTCTGACGAGGCGGCCTGGAGGAGAAGAAGAGGGTTAGGGGGGAGAGGGTGAGAGGGGGGAGAGAGGACGGGATGTAAGGAGGTCCGTTGCCAGCGCAGCTGCGTCTTGAACAGCGTCAGATCCACTGCCGACTTGTGTCACGACGCCCTGGGGGAGGTGCGGGGGGGGGGGGGGGTGGGAGGGAAGGAGGAGGGAGGGGGTTAGGGGTTGGGGTTTAGGAGGGGGAGGTGAAGAAGGAGGGAGGTTAGGGGTTAGGGGTGTTAGAGGATCAACTGCACAGTGGGCAGCTGCGTCTTGAACAGCGTCAGGTCCACTGCTGACTTGCTTTCTGATGAGGCGGCCTGGGAGGGGCCACCGGGAGCCCCCTCAACCCGATACCCAACCCCCCTGCCCCTCCCCCCTTTTTTCCTCATGAGCATATCACCACCCCATAGCCCAACCTCTCCCAGCCCCCTCAACCCATCACCAGCAGTCAAAGTTCCACCCTCCTCTACCCCACCACCTTCCACCACTCAACCGCCACCCCTTCAACCCCCACAAACCCCCACTCCCCGTCGCCGCCCCATGCAAACCACCCGCTGCCGCCGCCGCTCTGCTGCCGAAGCTGCACGTTAGTATGCGTCGTCTCCAGGAGACACAACAAACGCCGTGTTGCTCAGCCAGTACCCCAGCATCTGCAGGCTGCCTGTGTGCGTGGCGAGCTGCAGCGCCTCGATAATGCGGTCGAAGGTGTTGTGCGCGCGGGGCCTCGAAGGTCTTCCAGTGGTCCAGCGCCTTGTAGAGCGTGCACATGGCGATGGGGGTAGCCGTGCTCTGAGAAGCCGTACATGTTGGTCGTTACCAGTGTCAGTAGTCGATCCTGGGGTGGAGGAGTGGGGCATAGGAAGGGGAGAAGGGAGGTGAAGGTGATGGGGGGTGCAAAGGATCTAGCTTATACATGAACGATGGGATAGTTATGCTGTGAGAAGCCGTACATGCTGGTCGCCACCAGCATCAGTAGCTGATACTCGGGGGCGGGGGGGTGGATGGGGGATAGGAAGGAGGAAGAGAAGCAGCAGGTGGAGGGGGGACAGGAAGGTGGGAGCGGAAGGGACGGGGAGGGGGCGAAGTTGGAGTGAGGGATGGGGGGCGCAAGGGAGACTACGTGTGCATGGTCGTCACACGGCGAATAAACGTCAATCGCTTACGTCCACCACTCTGCCATGCTCTCACCACCACCCACCCCACCCCCCCTCCCACCCACCCACCCCACCCACCCCACCTCACCTCACCCCATCCCATCCCGCCCCATCCCACCCTGCCACACACCACCCAAGGCTCACCTCGAGCTGGGCTTTAAGCTTGTTGGGCGACATTGGAGGCCCATGGGAGGACAAGGGGGGAGGGAGATGCGAGGTGACCAGGCACTGCGATCTGCAGCCCCCCCCCTGCAATGGGTCGGCTCAATACCTCCTCCTCCCCTCCTGCTGCCCCTCCTTCGCCTCCTCCTGCCCCCCCACCTCCGCTCTCTCCCTCGATGCTGTCGTCGAGAAGCTTCCAGGAAAGCTCGCGCACCTCCTCGTCCTTGCTGGGAGGGTTGGATTGGGTCGGGATGGGTGGGTTGGGGATGGGAGAAGAGGGACATGTGGGAATGATGGGGAAGGGCACGGTGCAAAAGCCAAAGAAATATGGTGTGGTTTGGTATGGCTCCATAGGATACAGGTTGGCTGGAGGGAGGTTACCATGTAAGTGAGGGACAATGGGCAATGCCTGTGAAATGAAGACTGATAACCCTTCCCCCCACTCTCACCCCCCCACACCTCCTCCCCAAAGTCCCCTCCCTGTACCCCTCCCTTCACCCAACAGCCCTCCCCACCTGTCCCTTCATACCACCCACCATCCCCTCCCCACCCCTTCGCTCCACCCGGCCCACACACCCATTCCCCTCCCCTTCCCTCCCTTCCCTTCCATCTCCCTGGTCTCACTTCTTCAGCTTCTCCTGCAGCTCTTTCATCTTCCCTGCATCTCTTTAATCAGGCTCTCCTGGGACTGCAGGGTGCCCTCATAAGCCTCCACCTTCCGCTCCATCCCCTCCATCCTCGCCCGCTCCTCCTTCACCTTCTCTTCCACCGCCGCCTTCTCCTCCTTCAATTTCTCCAACTCCTCATTCAGCCGCGCAATCTGAATAAACATCTTGCCCCACGCGGCGTTTGGAGCACCCATAGCAGAGGAGACCGCAGCAGCAGTTGCCATATCCGGATCGTCACTCATCTGCAGCACGTCACCCTTCCGTGCCTTCACTCTCGCCCACGCTTTCGACCGCTGTATCGGCCCCCTCCCTTCCGCTCCTCCCACGCTCGCAGACCCACTCAATCCTGGCATATCAAAGCCTCCCACTCTTGGAGATCTCATCCTAGCAGCAAACCCCAGTCCTGAAGCCCGAGTTGTTGATATTTCCAGCTCCGACCCGCCCCCCTCCCCTCTCGCTCCCCCCTCCTCCACTCCTGCAACCGAAGCCGCCGCTGAGGCTGCAGCACAACATCCGCTCCCCACACGCCCCTCCCCCCCGCCCTTTCCGCCTCAAGAGACGCGCCCTTGGCAAACCGGCGCCCAACACCAGGAGACTGCATCACCCCGCCCCTCGAAAACGCATGCGGCAGGCCGGAGTGGTGGTGATGGGATGCGCCACTGCCACCACCACCGGCGCCGTCAGCAGCAGCGGGGTAGTCTGGGTGGCCGATGAGGGATCGGAGCTCTTCCTCTGCACGGTGTGCGCGGGCGGTCTCCTCCTTGAGGCGTTGGGTGAGCTGCGCGTTCTCCTTGGCCTTGGCTTCTACCTCCTTTAGGGCTATGTCCAGCTGCTCCTGTAGCTCCTTCCGCTTCTTCTCCTCCTTGGTCTGAAGGGAGAGAGTGTGCGGGTGGGGGGTAGAGGAAAGGGGGGAGGTGAAAGGAAGCGGGGAGGAGGGGGAATGTGGGGGTTCAAAGAGGGGGTTGTGGGGGTGTGGGAGCTGGGGGAATTGTGGGAGGGCATGAGAGCAATTCCTCTGCACAGTGTGCACTGCGCGTTCTCCTTCGCCTTGGCTTCAACCTCCTTCAGGGCGATGTCCAGCTGCTGTAGCTCCTTCCGCTTCTTCTCCTCCTTGTTCTGTTGTAGAGAGAGTGGGAATGAAGGGATGAAGGGTGTATGCATTTGAGTCGACCCAAAAAGAAGGCGTTGCGTGAGCTGCGCGTTCTCCTTGGCCTTGGCTTCTACCTCCTTCAGGGCTATGTCCAGCTGCTCCTGCAGCTCCTTCCGCTTCTTCTCCTCCTTGGTCTGAAGAATGGGGAGGGTGAGAGGGATGGGGAGGTGTGGGGGAGAGAAGGGGGAAACAGGAGGGGGAGGGAGGGGGATGGAGGGGGAGGAGGGGGGAGCGTGGGGGTTAGAAGAGGGGGTTGTGGGTTGTGGAAGGCAGGAGAAATGCGGGGGAACTTGGGAAGGGATTTGAAGAAAGGGATGGACGGAAGAGAAGTGTGATGGTTTTGACGTAGAGTGAAGCAGAAGAGATCGTGAGGGAGGGAGAGGGGAAGCAAGAAGAGGCAGGGAAAAGGGAGAAGCGAAGCATGTGTACCTTCATCAGGCGCAGCACTTTGAGGCGCAGCTGCTCCAGTGAAGCCTCCACCTTGGTGCGCGGGGGAGCCAGTAACGCCGCCCTTGCTGCCGCCTGCCATGTTGCAGAAGAGTCAGGGAACGAAGGTGGTGGGTGCGTGGGGTTGGGGAGGGAGTCGAGTTTTGGTGCAGCTGAAGGAGTACCGTAGTGCAAGAGTACCATGAACAGGTACCCACTGGCACTAGTACATCATGCAAGTGTATCCACTCTTTCATGGCACCAATGTCCTTCCCAACGCATGCAAGCCCATCCCCCCATGACAACACGGATACTGCTGTAACTCCATCAGTAACCGCTCCACGCCCTTGTGATTGTCACACAAAACCACCTCAATTCCTCCATCCCTCCCTCCCTCCTCCGGTGCCAATGTCCCTCCCTCACCTCCTTCATCCTGGTCAACCGCCTCTGCCCCAGCCGCACTTGCAGCCGCCGCCGCAGCGCCTTTCGAGTCGATGTAAAAGTCACCTCTCTTATGGTCCCTCCCTTTTTCCCACCACAACAGACACAACATTCGCCCTCACCTCCTTCATTCTGGTCAGCCGCCTCTGCCCCAGCCGCACTTGCAGCCGCCGCCGCAGCGCCCAGTATGGCTTGCGCAGGTGGTACCCACGCCACACGGCCTGGGAGGAGGAGCAGGGGAGGAAGATGGGAAATAGTAAGGAAGTGTATGAGTTGATTATTGCGTCTCAACAAAAGCGCCCAGTACGGCTTGCGCAGGTGGTACCCGCGCCACATGGCCTGGGAGCAGGAGCAGGGGAGGCAGATGCAAAAAGAACAGGGAAGCACCCGTGTGTCAAGTTGCACCTCTCAACCAATGCGCCCGGTATGGCTTGCGCAGGTGATACCCATACCATGCAGAGTGGCTTAGGAGAACTGAACGGAGGTGATTTTGAGTGGGGAGGCCAGGAAGATTATAGCGTAAGCTCAATAATGTGGAGATTGCGCAGTATGGGTTGTGCAGGTGGCGCCTAAATGACGCCATTTTAAGTTCCAAATAAAGAGCACATCTGTATCTTAACGGCGGCCAGGAACCGTCAACTGAAAGTGCAGTAAATGCGATTCTTGCAGCAGCTTGCCTCAAAATACGCCTCCGCGACGCCCTGAAGGGAACGCACCTGAATCTTGGTGGCTGCGAGGGTGCGGCAATTAAAGATGTAGTGCGTGCGCGCCTGGTGCAGGCACACATGGGCAGCTATACGGATTTGCGCCTCAAAGCCCCCCCCAACCCCCCCTTGAGGCACCTCAGACCAAACGCACCTGAATCTTGGTAGCTGCAAGGGTGCGGCGGGTGAATATGTAGTGCGTGCGCGCCTGGTGCATGCGCACATGGGCAGCTATACGGATTTGCGCCTCAAAGCCCCCCCGAAACCCCCCCTTGAGGCACCTCAGACCAAACGCACCTGAATCTTGGTAGCTGCAAGGGTGCGGCGGGTGAATATGTAGTGCGTGCGCGCCTGGTGCATGCGCACGTGGGCAGCAATGCGGATCTGCGCTTCAAAGCCCCCCCCAACCCCCCCCTGAGGCACCTCAGACCCAATGCACGCACCTGAATCTTGGTGGCTGCAAGGGTACGGCGGGTGAAGATGTAGTGGGTGCGCGCCTGGTGCATGCGCACGTGGGCAGCGATGCGGATCTGCGCCTCGCGCATGTCCAGGAAGCGGCGGCGGTGCATCCATCGCCGCGTGTACTTCTGGATCGTCTGTGCTGCCTTGTACTCCCGCAGCTCCCGCAGTTGTTCGCGCGCCTTGTAGCCTGGGGCATGTGGGAAGACGAAGGGGCGGGAAGAGAGGAATCATGGGAGACGGGAAGAGAGGGGACGTGTACTTCTGAATCGTCTGCGCTGCCTTGTACTCCCGCAGCTCCCGCAGTTGTTCGCGCGCCTTGTAGCCTGGGGTATGGGCATGGGCAGGGAGGGGCGTGGGCACGGGGAGGCATGGGCAAGAGGGATCATTGGTAAGAGGGCGTGTACTTCTGGATCGTCTGCGTGCCTTGAACTCCCGCAGCTCCCGCAGCTGCTCCCGTGCTTTTGTAGCCTGCAGTATATATGTGTGGAGACGAGGGGATGGGGAAGAGAGGAACCATGGGAGCGAAGAGGGGGGACGTATTTCTAAATCGTCTGCGCTGCCTTGTACTCCCGCAGCTCATGCAGCTGCTCCCGTGCTTTGTAGCCTGGGGTCATGGGCAAGGGGGGCCACGGGGAGAGGGGGGCATGGGCAAAAGGGGCAATGCACGAGGTGTCACGGCAGGTCATGGTATGGCATGTCACAAAACAGCACGTTAGGCGCCAGTGGTTCTGGATGGTGAGTGTAGCTTGCCTGTTGCGCAGGGGCAAGGGACAGACGGCAAGCAAGAAAGCACGGAGGGACAGACGCACCTCGCCAGTGGTTCTGGATGGTCTGGGCAGCCCGCTTGCGGTGCAGGCGGAAGATGTATGCCCGGTAGTACTTCTGAATGATGCGCGCTGCCTCTGCCATGCGGTTCAGCCGCATCGTCTCCAATACCACCATCTGCCCCGCACGCAGAAACACCTTGGTCAGCCCGATCTGAGTGCGTGCAGGGGGAGGGGGGAGCGGGTTGGAGGTGGAATTGTAAATTTCAGCCGCATTGTCTCCAGCACCACCATCTGCCCCGCCCTCAGAAACACCTTGGTCAGCCCGATCTGGCGCGTGGAAGGGAGAGGAGGCGGAGGGGGGAAAGTGGGGAGTGGGTGGGAGGAGGGAGTGTGTTTTGATTTGTGTGGCGTCTCAAAAAGCACCACCGTCTGGCCTGTCCGCAGAAACACCTTGGACAGACCAATCCGAGGGCATGTAAAGGGGGGAAAGTAAGCCAGGATTGGGGTGTGAGTGGAAGGGGAGAGGGAGAGAGTGGGGTGGGAGAGAATGAATTATGTTTTTTGAGACATCTCAACAAGCACCACATGCAGAAACACCTTGTTCAGCCTGATCTGCTTGCGGGGTGGGTGAGAAGGATAGGAGGGAAGGGGGGTGATTTTGCATTTCGAGAGATAGGTGGCTTCGAGACAAACACAATGATTATGAACGGTAAGGAAGCTCGTGAATGGTAAAGGGCGTGTGTGGAAATTGACTGTGTATAGGTGCATATAAATATGTGCGCTGAATGAAACATGCATGCGTACGTGCGCAGATTCATGCGTGTATGACAAGCGTGCGTACACATGTGTGCGTGTGTGCAAGCTTGTGCATGCACACTTGCATGTGTGTGCACGTGTGCCTGGAGTATCACGCACCTGGTATCCCTCAATGCCTGCCTCCTTCATAATCGCCCGCACCAGCTCATCATCCTCCGCCCTGCCATGTGCACAACCAGTGGCGCCACGTAGGGCAGCAGATAAAGTGGTTGAGAAACAAGAGGCAAGCGGGATATAATGGGAGGTTTTTAAGCGGGCTGAGAAAGATAGCCCGCACCAGCTCATCTCATCATCCTCCGCCCTGCCATGTGAACAACCAGTAACAGAGCGTGGGGCAGCAGGGGAAGGGGAGGCTGAGCAGCATAGCATGCAAGCAGCAAGTGGTCCATGGGTGCTAATTGGTTGCAGTGGATGGTGACGGGTCAGGGTGTGAGGTTGATGGTGCCTTAATAGATGGAGAGGGAAGAGACGAAGTTACACAACGACTCATGCATCACTAGCTGCTGAGTTTGTTTTGATGGGAGAAGAGGAAAGAATGCGACGAATTCTTTCCCACCTGCGCAGGAGCAGGGGGCAATGGCAGGCAAGCAGGCAGGCAATGGCACTGACTCGTCGTAGAGCTCGGAGGGCACGAGGAAGGCAAATCTTTCGATGAAGTCCTCAAAGGAGCGCCGCGTGGGGTAGCCCTTGGAGCACACTCGCACTGCCTCCAGCACTCCCTGGGAGTACAAAGGAGGAGTCGGGGGGAAGCAAGCAGTTGACGGGACATTAGATCGAGGTGGGTTGTAACAGAGGTGCTGTGCAAAGCGGTAGCCCTTGGATCACACTCGCACTGCCTCCAGCACTCCCTGGGAGGAGTGGGAGGAAAGGGGTGCCTGGAGGGAGAGCAGTTGACAGGACACTGGAGGATTGAAGGGTAGCCTAGGCTGTGGAGTTAGGGTGCGAAGGGGTGGCCGTGGGGCATTCGTGGCAATGCCTGCCTACCACCAGCACTTTCTGACGGGGATTTGAGTGAGTCCTGGGAGGGAGAGACAGGTGAGGAGTGAGGGGAGATGATGGGGTGAGAGGGAAGAGGAACCATGGAGGCTAGCAGAGACGGTTGACACTAACTCACTCTATTGCTGTGTCTCTCACCTCACCCTCTCTCACCTCACCCTCTCTCACCTCACCCTCTCTCACCTCACCCTCTCTCACTCGCTCCATCCCTAAATCCTTTGCGAGGCACCACAGGGACAGCAGTTTGACCCTGAGACACCTCTACCCTTCGTCTCCCACCGCACTGCCTTCTTTCCCCCCTCCTGTTAGACACACACGCCTGTGACTCACCCCCAACTCACCCCTGATCGCAGCTGTTCCATTACGAGAGTGCGCGTGAAGACCCCCGGCTTGAGCGTGCTATTGGGCTTCACACACCGGATGTAGTGCGGCGCTGTGCTGTTGAGCGTGCGCATCAGTGCTGCCAGTTGCTCCTGTGGGTGGCAGATACAAGGTGCGGAGATGGGAAGATGCAATGCAATGTAACGGTTGGTCAACAGGCAGGGAGCTCGTCAAGTTTTGAGTCGACTCAAAATGCTGCCCACCAGTCCTGGTCAAGGAGAACGGGAATGGTGCTGGAAGTTGCAAGTTCTCAAGGGACAACCACGACAAGAGGTGGGCATCTTGGGGGACAAGCAACTGAGCAACAGAGGCATGGCCAGGGAGTGCAGGTGGCATTTGAGAATTCTAAAAACAAACTACTGGCCGGACGAGCAGCCGGCTGACGGGAGGGATCACTGAGACGCGAGAAAGAGCACGCAGGTAGGTCCAATCCCAAGCCCTGTGCCCCCCTCACGCATCCCCCCTTGGGCTCATGGATCATCTGATACCTTGAAGCGCTTGCCCAGGGAGTTGAAGGCAGCCTTGCTGGCCTCGGGTTCGAGGGGGAAGAGCTGAGCGATGAAGGCATGGTCCGAGTGGCTGGAGAGCAGGCAAGACACTGCTGGCCCACGGCCCACCCACACACCCCTGCGCTCATCACTCATCTCATCTCACCTTGAACCTCTTTCCGAGGGAGTTGAAGGCGGCCTTGCTGGCCTCGGCCTCGAGGGGGAAGAGCTGAGCGATGAAGGCATGCTCCGAGTGGCCCAGCAGTGTTTCGTGCTCCGGCACCACTGCATCCATGTTCTTCACCAGGAACTCGTCTGTTAGATACTTCACCTGGTAGGATGGGGGGAAGTGGAGTGGGTGGACCGTGGAAGGGGAGGTGTGAGGAGGTTGAGCGTGGGAGACCAGTGGAGGGTAATAAGCGAGTGCTCCAGCACCACTGCATCCATGTTCTTCACCAGGAAATTGTCAGTTAGGTACTTCACCTGGTAGGCTGGGAGGAAGGGAGAGAGGTTACAGAGGGAAGTTGTGTGGGAAAGAGGAATGAGACAGCTAGCTCAAGCGCTCAAAGCATCGTTTTCCTTCAGCAGAACAGACCCATACTCGTTATAAGGCTCACCTGTCCAGCGTAGTGGTGGATTGTAAAGTCGGTTTTGGACATCTTGCCAAAGAGAAAGCGCTCGTGTGCCTCGTACTGCTTGTACAGCGTGCGACTGAACGTCTCGGGGGTGGAGTTGGGCGTCTTGCTGCACGGCACAGGGGTGCAAGCAAAGCACGGGGAGAGGGAAAAAAGTGTTTCGGAGGAGGGGAAGGAGCGGGGGTTGAGGGAAACGGAGAGGTCAGAGGCTGTATGGATGGAATTACTGGAGACGGGTGGTAGGGGAAACGGATAAGAAATGGGTTAGACTGCGATTTCACAAAGAAGTTAATGGATGAGAGGCAGCAGAAGGCAAAGCTGGTTCGGAGCAGATAGCACAGAGAAGAGAAAGTGGCGCGGAATACGGGAGTAAGGAGCGGGAGGGAGTGCAAGAGCGGAGAGGGTTGTGGAACAGAGAACGGAGTGGATGCGGGAAGGTCAAGGGGAGTGGAGTGAGAGAAGTGAGCGAGCAGCAGTGAATCCCAGTCAGAGGATGGAGCATGGAGCATGGCGAATGGAGCAGGGATAGATTACCAGGTGGAGTCCAGTGTGCTGAGAATGCCTTGCTTCTGCTCACACATACAGGCACGCACACACACATGCCGACACACATGAGCACACACATGCGCACATACATGCCACACACATGCCCACCCACATGCCCACCCACATGCCCACACACATGCCCACACAGATGCCCGCACACATCCATCAAATGCACGCCATGTAGCCTCATCACACCACACATACACGTATAGAAGCACCACAGACACAGCACAAACATCATTTCACAGAGCATAAGAGCACCAAATGGTGAGAATCAGCAAGTGGTGAAGCAGGGAGAAGAGGCAGGTGGTGGAAGAGAGACGAATCCACAGAGCGAGCACGTGCATCTGTTGAGTGGTAGAGCAGCCAGGAAGGAAAGTATCCCCCTCCCATCGCCCTCGCTTCCCCCTGCTCTCTCTGTTCCCCATGTTCGTTCTCTTCCCCCCTGGCCACAAGCTCCCCCCAATCCTAGACCAGCCTGGAGCAGCACACCGATGTTGTCGTGAAGGTCTTGTAGTTCAAACCAACAGCTGATTCTTCCTGTTGTGGTGGGAGCTAGTCAAAGGCCCACACTCCTTTTCCATCGCCATTGGGAGGAAGAACCTCAGTCAACACATCCACTCCTCACCACCGCATCAACTCCTTCATGCAATCCTCACCACCGCACTTGACTCCTTCATGCCCCAACCCACCCCCTTGTCTCACCCCTTCAATGAGCTCCAGCACGTCCTCGTTGTCTGTGAAGTCCACATAGCTCCAGTCGATCTGCTCGCGCGTGTACTCCTCCTGCTCCATCTTCAACACATGCTGAAGCCGCACACAAGGGGGCAGGGGAGGTGGGAGGATGGGGGAGAGGGGGAGAGGGGGGGGGGCGCGTGGGGAGTGAAGTAGGGCAGAGGTATTTTTAATCAAGTAGGTGGATGCACTGTGAAAAATAATGCAGCAGAGTCTGCTTGATCAAGTAGGTGCTACTGGCATGGTATGGCATAAAATTAACGGAAAGGTTTATGGGATGTGGATGCATTGGATAAGCAGACATAGGAAAGGTATGCAACTAGTTTGTCTAGGCAAATGCTTGTGGCATGGAAGGGGCACACAGAAAGGAGAGCGGTTAGGAGGGGCACGCGGAAAGGAGAGAGGTTGGGAGGAGAGAAGAGCGTACAGCATTGAAATGCTGCTGGAGCTTTTCATTGGCGAGGTTGATGCAGAACTGCTCAAAGCTGTGAGAGAGGGGTGAGGGAGCAGACACGCACGCACGCAGGAACACACGCAGGCAGGCAGGCAGGCAGGCAGGCAGGCAGGGAGGGTGAGGAAGAAGAGAGGTAGAGAGAGAGGGAGGGAGGGAGAATGAGAGCATACATGCACGGATCCATGCTAAAACACGAGCATATGTGAAGTCATGAAGAGAAGGCATGCGCATTTTCCGAGGGCAGTGTAACATCGCAACTCCCATCGCAGCTCCCATCGCAGCTCTCATTGGGAGGGTTAGTGCGTACTTTCATGCCTCCACACTGACCTGTTGCTGCCCGACCGACCTCTGTTAAACTTCAAGTGCCCAAAGAGACACGGCGTGATTCAGTGTGTGTGCGGCTGCATGCTTGCATGCATGCAGGCGCGCACCTGTTGGTCTTGAAGTGCTCAAAGCCGTAGATATCGAGCACGCCACTGAGCATGGTGGGTGGACGTGAGGATGTTTCACAAGAGGCCCAGAGCGGCGTGACTGCCACGCGTGCAAGATTGCATGCATGCAGGAGCACACCTGTTGGTCTTGAAGTGCTCGAAGCCGTAGATATCGAGCACGCCAATGAGCATGGTGGACGTGGGGTCCTGCCCTATGCTCTCGTTCACCTTCGCCACGATCCTGATTCCATGAGGAAGGAGCGGAGGCATTGAGACGGGTGAGGGAGATAAGAACAAAGTGGGTGACGGAGATGAGAACGAACACAGTGGGAGGAGGGAGAGAGGAATATTATGAAATGGAGAGAAGGGACGTGGGGTGTGCCCTCATTCACTTTTGCCACAATCCCGGTGCCATGAGGCACGTGAAGAGAGAGTTAGGAAATGGTAGAGAGGAGACATTCAGACGAGTGAGATGGAAGAGCAATAATTGATTCAGTGGAGAGTAGGGAGAAGGGAGGAGAGACATGGGGTCCTGTCATATGCCGGCCTTAACCTTAACCATGATCTTTGCACCATACGACCGACCGAGGGAGAGGCAGTCAGTGAGGGAGGGAGGGCATCTCACCAGTCAAAGAGCTTGGAGTAGAGTGTCTTGGAAAGTGTATCGCGCTTATTTTGAGACGTCTCAAAATACGACTGATCGAAGGAGAGGCAGTCATTGAGGAAGGAGGGCATCTCACCAGTCAAAGAGCTTGGAGTAAAGTGTCTTGGCGAGTGTGTCGCGCTTGGTAGCGGCGGCCTGTGGCTTGAGCGGGCTTTTGAACACCTCCCGGCCCACCTTGCGCGTGTATGTCACCAATGACTCCAGCAGCGGCTCCTTGGGCACGCTGAAGGGTGGGAGTGTGAGAGGAGAGGAGAAGATAGGAGAGGAAAGGAGATCTTATTTGAGTCGACACAAAAGCCAACTGTGGCTTGAGCGAACTCTTCAACACCTCCCGGCCCACCTTGCGCGTGTATGTCACCAGTGACTCCTGCAGTGGCTCCTTGGGCACGCTGTGGGTGGGTGGGAGTGTGAGAGGCGAGGAGAGAGGGAGGTGGCGTGGCTGCGGTAAGTTCGAGACGCAGGCGTTTTTTCGCAAGGGATTTATGGAGGAAGTGCGGGTGATGTGTGAATGGAAGAGAACCTCACCCTGGCTTTGTCTGTCCCCCAATGACTGGGCCATCCCTACCTGCCACATTCCTACTCCTACTCCTTAACAAACTTGTATCACCACCACTGCATCCCCCCACTATCACCCTCCCAAGGCGCCAAGCCACAGTCTGGTAAGCTGGAAGTCTGACTGCTCCCCTACCAGTTGCGAAGAGGCAGATAGTTGCACTCTTTTGACTCGATTCACACCGTCACGGCCCCACTATCACCCTCACTCCCTCCCTCCCTCCCTCACTCCCTCACCCCAGGAGTTCGGCCACAGTGGTGAGGTGGAATTCTGACTGCTCCCCTGCCAGCTGCGGTGGGGGTTCATCACCCTCTTGGAACAGCACATTGCCCAGGTGCAGAATGGCCGCTAGCAGCCGCAGAATGCCCATCTGCATGCCACACGCGCAGTCAAGCACACACGAAAGAATTTCAGGTGCCTCAGAAGGGGGAGGGGGGAGGTGGTTCATCACCCTCTTGGAACAGCACATTGTCCTAATGCAGAATGGCCGAAAGCAGCTGCAAAATGCCCATCTGCACGCCACATGGACAGCCACAGGCACACACGCGACAAATAGAGCATCGGAGGGAGAGGGTAATCAGGGGAGGAGAAAGTCTCTGGTCTAGAGCGCGCGAGAAAACCCAAAACAAATTCGTGAGCAGTTTGCAACAGTGCAGTCATGTGGAATTTTAGAAACGCATGTGAGCAATGGGCGTCCTGGCATGCTCCCAGCAGCTGGATCAACACCCTGCAACACATGCATGCGTGCATGTATCAGACTACGTGTGCGATCCCGAAGCCATGTTGTGATGAAGCAATGAAGCATGCCATGCCATGCCTTGTTATGGCATGCCATGCCTTGTTATGGCATGCCATGCCATGTCATGCCATGAGGTATTTGTGAGAACAATAGTTTGAAGAGAAGTTGATGATTGAATTGAGGAGATTGGGGGTTTACATAGGGAGTGGGTTGGATCCTAGCCTAGGTGAGCATTATTGGACCCCAACCAAGAAGTTGGGTTGGGGGATTATTGGTGGGGTCCAATAATGTTGGCCAAGTTGGAGTTGGGCCAACATTATTGGAGTGAACCAATAATTCTACCCAACCCAACCTTTGGGGTCCAATAATTGGACCAAGGTTGGGTTTCCAACCTACAAACTGGGTGACCCTTGTTTGTACACCCAAACTAAGTTTGGGTGCTTAACTCTAGCCTAACCTATAACATCTATGCAGGTTACACAAGAAGATAGATTCTAACACAACCCCTTAACCTGCAGAGATGCGGAAAGGCTTGAGTGAAGCAACCCCTGAATCAAGGCGCGCCTGGGGGAGCGAGGCCGATGAGGCGGAGAAGAGCAGAGTGCGCAGGGCGAAGGAGTGCTTTGGTGAAGATATCTGCCAAGTTGGCTTCAGCGGCGATCTTACGAACGGCAATGAGATTCTGTTGGACGAGTTCACGGATGAAGAAATAGCGGAGCTCAATGTGTTTGGAGCGACCGTGGAACACGGGGTCTTGGGTGAGATGGATGGTGCTGGCATTGTCACACCAGAGCGTGGGGCAGCGCTGGGGAACACCAAGCTCAGCCAGGAGGAAGCAGAGCCAGCGGGACTCCTGGGCGGCCATGGTGCCAGCATAGAGCTCAGCTTCACAGGAGGAGAGGGCGATGGCAGAGGAGCGGGTAGAGCGCCAGCTGATGAGGCCGCTGCCGAGGGTGAAGCCATAGCCTTGGGAGGAGCGGCGGTCTGGCTGGCAGTCTGCCCAGGAGGAGTCGCTGAAGCCAGAGAGAAGGGGGGGGGAAGATCCACCCAGCGTGAGAGCGTGGTCTCTGGTGCCACGGAGATAGCGGAGGACCCGCTTGGCGGCAGTCCAGTGTTCCTCAGTGTGGCGGCCGGGGCCGACGAACCGAGCAAGGACACTGACAGGGTAGGCGAGGTCGGGACGAGTGCACATCATCGCGTACATCAGCGACCCAACAAGCTCGGCGTAGGGCCGGGAGGAGGTGGAGGGGGAGGTGGGTGGCGCAAGCTGGTGGCCGAAGGGGAGAGGGGTGGAGACCACTTTGGCTTGTGCCATCTCGAACTTCTCCAGGACCTGGCCGATGTAGTGGGACTGGGAGAGGGTGATGGTGCGGGCGGATCGATCACGGGTGATAGCCATGCCGAGGTAGTTCTGAAGCGGACCAAGGTCCTTGCACTTGAGACGTTCCTGAAGTGACCGCTTCACATGATCCATGTCAGCCCTGGTGTCGGCGAGCAGGATCATGTCGTCGACGGAGATGAAGAAGCGACTGGGGGAGGAGCGGATGAAGAGGCTAGCATCGAAGTGGGAGGGGGAGAAGCCAAGGGACTGGAGAGTAGCAGACAGCTTCGCATGCCATTCTCGTGGTGCCTGCTTCAGGCCGTAAACCGGGCGCTTTAGTTGCCAGACGGTGTTTTCGGGGAAAGCCGCATGAAACCCAGGAGGTCGGCGGAGGAAGATGCGCTCGTGCAGTTCGCCTTGCAGGAACGCGTTGGAGACGTCCATGGAGTCAATCTCCATGTCGTCACGCGCACCGATGTCCATAAGGGTGCGTAGGGTGGCTTGCCTGAGGGTGGGGGCAAATGTGAACCAGTAGTCCTCAGCCCAGGTCTGGGTGAACCCCTTGGCAACATAGCGGGCTTTGTAGACTGGCTCCTCTCCCGGCAGCTGTTTGACTCGAAAGATCCACTTGCCCTCGACAAGGTTGGCGTCAGGGGGAAGGGGAACGTCGATAAAGGAGTCGTTGCAAATGAAAGCCTCACACTCCAGGAAGATAGCGGCTAACCACTTGTCAGCGTCAGGGCAGGTGATAGCCTCCTGGAAGGTGGTGGGGACGAAGATGGTGGGAGCGGAGATCGCGCTAAGGATCAGAGCGCCGAAGAGGTCAGGGTAAAGTGTGAAGATAGAGGGAGTGTGGTGCCGGACCATGGCGAACTCCTCATGGGAATCCTCGAGCTGGTGGAGGGAGGAAGGTGGCGGTGTGCCAAGGATGGGATCAAGAGAGCGGGTGTGCATGCGAGGGAGGAGGAAGGGTGAGGAGCGGGCAGACGCCCTCCGCCGCTGCTGCTGCTGCTGCTGCTGGACCCCCTGTTGCTGCTGCGGCCGCTGCTGCGGCTGTTGTTGCTGCTGCTGCGGCTGCCCCTGTGGTTGTTGCGGCGGCCACTGCTGCTGCCCCTGCTGCTGTTGGTGCGGCTGCTGCTGCGGCTGCCCCTGCTGCTGCTGCTGCTGTGGCTGCTGCTGCTGCCCCTGCGGCTGCTGCTGCGGCTGCCCCTGCTGCTGCTGCTGCTGTGGGTGCTGCTGCTGCTGCGGCTGCTGCTGCGGCTGCTGCTGCTGCTGCTGCTGCTGCTGTGGCTGCTGCTGCTGCCCCTGCGGCTGCTGCTGCGGCTGCTGCTGCTGCTGCTGCTGCCCCTGTGGCTGCTGCTGCGGCTGTTGGGATGGATGAGAAGGAGAGTAGGAAGGAGAGGAGGGAGAGGGAGCCGCGGAGTGTGCAGGGGATGCTGGAGCAGTGGGATCATAGATATCGGCAGATGAGGGTGGCGGAAGCGGAGTGGGGAGGGGTGGGAGAAGGGGTGCTGGAGGGAGGAGGGGAGGGAGGACGGTGTCGGTCCAAGCGAGAGGACGGGTGGGAGGAGGGAGGGGGTCTGGTGGTGGAGAGGAATAATATGGGGTGGTCTCATCAAACACAACGTCAATGCTGCGGATGAGGCGACCGGAGGGAGGGTGAAGGAAAAGGTAACCGGGCGAGTCGCGGTTGTGGCCGAGGTAGACATACTCGAGGGCACGAGAAGCGAGCTTGCCGTGGGTGCGTTCAGGTGGAGGGATGAGCACATATGCCTTGCAACCCCAAACACGAAGTCCGGCAGCGTCAGGTTTGGTCCCTGACCAGAGCTCCGTGGGGGTAGTGGCGGTGTGGCAGGGATGGGAGCGAAGGTTGAGGAGGAGGGTAGCATGAAGGAGTGCATAGCCCCAAAGAGAAGGAGGGGTGGAGGCGTGAGCGAGGAGACAGCGGGCGATCTTAGTGATTTCGCGAATGCGGCTCTCTGCGACGCCGTTCTGCTGTGGGGAGTGGGGAAGAGTGTGGGTCTGTTGGATGCCATGAGTGGTGCAGTAGTGGGTGAGTGCGATTGAGGAATTCGCCTCCCCCATCAGAGTGGAGGCGGCCGATGGGACGTTTGAAGTGGGTGCGGCATTGTTCTGCCCAGTGAATGATCATGGTCGGCGCCTGGGCTTTCGTGTGGAGGAGGAAAACGGAGGAGTAGCGGCTGTGATCGTCAACCAGAACCAGCATGTAGCGATGGCCTTGGCGTGAGCGGGTGGGAGAGGGCCCCCAGAGGTCCATATGGACAAGGTCAATGGGTGGCTGTGGTGAGGAGATTGTTTGAGTTTGCCGTGGATGCAGGAGGGGCATGGGGGGGCCGGGGAGGAGGGAAGGGGAGGAAGGGTGGGAGGGAGGCTGTGAAGGAGTCGTGAGGTGACAGCAGTGCAGAGAGCGGCGAAATTGGGATGGCCGAGTCGGTGATGTAGGAGAACAGCGGGGTGGGAGAGATGGTCGGAGGTGGAGGGGATTGGAACGAGGGAGGGCGGGATGAAGGAGTGGGGGGATGGTGGAGTGGGGGGGGAGGGAGGGAGATGGGGAGGGCTAGTGGAGGTACCCGCACGAGTGGTGACATGACAGGAGGGTGGTCACGGAGTGCGGAGAGTGTAGAGGCGAGTGCGGGGGCAGAGGGGTATGCGGAGGAGGAAGCGGCCGGAGGCAGTGTGGTAAAGGTCACAGTAGGTGGCATTACCAGGGTAGACCGCAGTGATACCTGCACTTTGTATTTCACGGTGGGAGAGGAGGTTGTTTCGGAGAGTGGGGATGTGGAGACCAGTTACCTTACCAGAGGGGAAGAGTGAGCAGGGGAGAGTGGAGAGGTGTGTGCATGGAATAGTGAAGCTGCTGTCAGCGCCGTGAACCTGAGTGGGAGGAGAGAGGGGTGTGAGTGTACCAGCGTCTTTGAGAGCAGTTTCAGTGGCCCCACTGTCCAGGACAAAGTCCAGAGTGGGTGAGGAGGAGGAAGGCACGGAGTACTGGAAAGTGGTTTCATTAATGGTGGACGGGTACATGGAAGGAAGAGAGGGTGAGATAGCAATGTTGCCAAGAAAGTTCTCCTGAGTGAGAGGAGTGGCAGTGCCACTGGGGGGGGGTGGAGTACCCCAAAGGGGAGCCGGTGAGGCTTGAGCGGCCATGGCTGCGGTGCCGAAGTTTAGCTGCTGCTGCTGCCAGGGAGGAGGGCTAGGTCCCCACTGGGGCTGGGGTCCTGATCCCCATGGGTGCTGCTGCGGCTGCGGCTGCTGCTGCTGCTGCGGCTATGGATAAAACAGCTGCTGCAGTTGCTGCTGCTGCTGCTGCTGCTGCTGTAGGAGGTGCTGCTGCTGGAGGTTGAGAAAAGGTGTGGGGGGAGCAAGGAGGCGGAGGTGGGCAGGGAGGTAAGCGGGGTTGGTTTGGATGTCGGTGGGGGAGGGACGTGGGGAGATCGTTCCCCACTTTGGAGGATTGCCAACGTTACCTCGTGCGTACCAAGCATCATCGAGGGCCTTGAAGCAGGTGGCAGGGGGATGGTTGGTCTGTCCGCAGGGTGTTCCAGCCCGGGGGCCATAGCGGCGAACATAGGTGCAGGGCGGAAGAGTACCGGGGCGACCGCCGCTGCTTGCAGGAGCTCCGCCTGTGGTGGTGGTGCCGTGCTCATCCCCAGTGGTACCGCCACGTCTGCTCGCGCTGCTGCCGCCGGGACCGCTACCTCCTATGCCTCCACCGCCCCCCTTGCCGTTGTGCTTGCCCTGCTTGCGGGGCTGAGTAGCGTTGAGGGAGGAGGAGGAGGGTTGGGAGGAGGCGAGGTTGACGACGGGGGTGCGAAGTTTGACTTCGGTGTCTATGATCCACTGTTCAACGGAGGCGAGGTCAGCCATGGGATTGGCTTCAGTAAAGGCGTGAAGGCGGGATTCATAGTCGGGAGTGAGGTTAAACAGGAGGCGATGGATTTGGAGGGGTTCGGAGAGGCCGGCTTGGCGGGCTTCGAGGCGGTCAGCTACCTCCCGCATGCGGCCGATGTAGTCGACCGCTCCGTCACAGGTAGCAAGGGTGATTGAGAAGTATTCTTGAAACAGAATGCCGACCGAGCTGATGTCGCGGCGTTCGAACATCGCATGGAGCTCTGCCCAGATGACCGAGGCCCGGAGCTCTCGAGCCTGGAAGCGGCGCATGAGAGAGTCAGGGAGAGCCCCAAGGAGAACGGTGCAGGCACGAGTGTCAGCAGTTGTCCAGGCGATAAGTTTCGGGGTGTAGGTGGCCATGTCGGCTTGGTATTTGGCGACGACGGCGAGGTGAGCGTTGCGGCCGGTAACTGCCTGGTCATAGGCTTCGACTGCTGCATCGTACTCTGCTTTCTTGATAAGGTACGCACGGCGGCGTAGGATGAAGTCTGTATCGGCCGTGGCTTGGTCGGCGGTGAGTTGGAGGTCGGGTTCAAGAGGAGGATCGCCGGGAGAGGGAGGGAGAGGGGGAGTCTCGCCCGGGTGGTCAGGTTCGGTGGGGACGGCGGAGGAGGACATCAAGGACACGGTAGGGGGGAACCCACGCATCGGAGAGGACCCGTCGGATGCTGCCGACGAAGGAGTGCCAATTGATGGCGGATTTGTCTGCGGCGAGCTGCAGCTTATCGACGGAGGAGGTGTCAATAGGTGGAGGGAGGGGGACGGGGGAGGGTGTGGCGGTAGCCATGGAGGACGGCTGCGGGTGGGCCTGCAGCGGTCACGGGGGGAGGTGAGGCGGCGACGAGGCCGCGGGAGGGAGAGGCCGCGGCAGGCAGCGGCTGAGGCCGCGGCGGAGTCGGCGCGGAGGCGGCGACGAGGCCGCGGGAGGGAGCGGCGCGGACGGCAGCGGCTGGCGAGGCCGCGGCGGAGTCGGCGCGGAGGCGGCGACGAGGCCGCGGAAGGGAGCGGCGCGGACGGCAGCGGCTGAGGCCGCGGCGGAGTCGGCGCGGAGGCGGCGACGAGGCCGCGGGAGGGAGCGGCGCGGACGGCAGCGGCTGGCGAGGCCGCGGCGGAGTCGGCGCGGAGGCGGCGACGAGGCCGCGGAAGGGAGCGGCGCGGACGGCAGCGGCGGAGGCCGCGGCGGAGTCGGCGCGGAGGTGGCAACGAGGCCGCGGGAGGGAGCGGCGCGGACGGCAGCGGCTGAGGCCGCGGCGGTGTCGGCGCGGAGGCGGCGACGAGGCCGCGGGAGGGAGCGGCGCGGACGGCAGCGGCTGGCGAGGCCGCGGCGGTGTCGGCGCGGAGGCGGCGTCGAGGCCGCGGGAGGGAGCGGCGCGGACGGCAGCGGCTGGCGAGGCCGCGGCGGAGTCGGCGCGGAAGCGGCGACGATGCCGCGGAAGGGAGCGGCGCGGACGGCAGCGGCTGGCGAGGCCGCGGCGGAGTCGGCACGGAGGCGGCGATGAGGCCGCGGGAGGGAGCGGCGCGGACGGCAGCGGCTGGCGAGGCCGCGGCGGAGTCGGCGCGGAGGCGGCGACGAGGCCGCGGAAGGGAGCGGCGCGGACGGCGGCGGCTGGTGGAGCCGCGGCGGAGTCGGCGCGGAGGCGGCGTCGAGGCCGCGGAGAGGCGCGAGCGGCAGCGGTCGGCGGGACCGCGACGAGGCGAGCGCGGAAGCGGTGATGGGGCCGCGGAAGGGGGGGGGGGGGGGGGGGAAGTGGTGCGAGCCTTGGCGGCGTGGGAGGCCGCGGGGCTGCGAGGAAGGGAGCGCTTGATGAGAGGGGAAGGGCGGCAAGATGGCCGCGAAAAAAAAATGAGGAAGAAGGTCGGGGTTGTAGTGGCCTTTGAAAACTTAATAGAGTAGGCCTAGGAATTAAGAGCTCTATACCATGTGAGAACAATAGTTTGAAGAGAAGTTGATGATTGAATTGAGGAGATTGGGGGTTTACATAGGGAGTGGGTTGGATCCTAGCCTAGGTGAGCATTATTGGACCCCAACCAAGAAGTTGGGTTGGGGGATTATTGGTGGGGTCCAATAATGTTGGCCAAGTTGGAGTTGGGCCAACATTATTGGAGTGAACCAATAATTCTACCCAACCCAACCTTTGGGGTCCAATAATTGGACCAAGGTTGGGTTTCCAACCTACAAACTGGGTGACCCTTGTTTGTACACCCAAACTGAGTTTGGGTGCTTAACTCTAGCCTAACCTATAACATCTATGCAGGTTACACAAGAAGATAGATTCTAACAGTATTGTGACCCCATCCTGCTCCTCCTCACCTGCTCCTCATGAGTGAAGCCCATGACTTCCATGGCGTGCCGTGTCTTGCGGTACTCCTCCGCGTTGCTGCAGCTGTCGGGCAGCTCAAAACATTCGCTCTGGCTCAAATACCGGAACTGCTTGCCTCGCTCGCCAGTCGTGGGCAGCTTGAAAAGTTCGGCCTCCTGCAGAGGAGTCACATAGGGAAGGGGGGGGAGTAAGGGTGGAAAAAGGGTGGAAGGGAGTGGAAGGGGGCCGAAGGGGATGGAAACAGGTGTGACGACAGACTGCAAATGTGACGACAGAGAATTTAGTGGGTGAATTCACAAGCACACAAATTGCACACGGATTGCACACAGATTGCACACGGATTGCACATGGATTGCACACAGACAGCACACGGATTGCACACGGATTGCACACGGATTGCACACGGATTGCACACGGATTGCACACGGATTGCACACAGACTGCACACGACCTGCACACGGCCTCACCTCGGCCGTAGCCCCATAGATGAGCTGGTAGAAGCAGTGATAGGAGCGCTCGGGGTCACTGATCTTTCAAGTCTGTTGACTCAAAGGTCACATCCTTTGAGTCAACTAGAAAAACTGCAAATGGCCTCACCTCGGCCGTGGCCCCATAGATGAGCTGGTAGAAGCAGTGGTAGGAGCGCTCAGGGTCACTGATCTTTCAAGTCTGTTGACTCAAAGGTCACATCCTTTGAGTCAACTAGAAAAACTGCAAATGGCCTCACCTCGGCCGTGGCCCCATAGATGAGCTGGTAGAAGCAGTGGTAGGAGCGCTCAGGGTCACTGATCTTTCAAGTCTGTTGACTCAAAGGTCACATCCTTTGAGTCAACTAGAAAAACTGCAAATGGCCTCACCTCGGCCGTGGCCCCATAGATGAGCTGGTAGAAGCAGTGGTAGGAGCGCTCAGGGTCACTGATCTTTCAAGTCTGTTGACTCAAAGGTCACATCCTTTGAGTCAACTAGAAAAACTGCAAATGGCCTCACCTCGGCCGTGGCCCCATAGATGAGCTGGTAGAAGCAGTGGTAAGAGCGCTCAGGGTCACTGATCTTTCAAGTCTGTTGACTCAAAGGTCACATCCTTTGAGTCAACTAGAAAAACTGCAAATGGCCTCACCTCGGCCGTGGCCCCATAGATGAGCTGGTAGAAGCAGTGGTAGGAGCGCTCAGGGTCACTGATCTTTCAAGTCTGTTGACTCAAAGGTCACATCCTTTGAGTCAACTAGAAAAACTGCAAATGGCCTCACCTCGGCCGTGGCCCCATAGATGAGCTGGTAGAAGCAGTGATAGGAGCGCTCAGGGTCACTGATCTTTCAAGTCTGTTGACTCAAAGGTCACATCCTTTGAGTCAACTAGAAAAAATGCAAATGGCCTCACCTCGGCCGTGGCCCCATAGATGAGCTGGTAGAAGCAGTGATAGGAGCGCTCGGGGTCACTGATCTTTCAAGTCTGTTGACTCAAAGGTCACATCCTTTGAGTCAACTAGAAAAACTGCAAATGGCCTCACCTCGGCCGTGGCCCCATAGATGAGCTGGTAGAAGCAGTGATAGGAGCGCTCGGGGTCACTGATCTTTCAAGTCTGTTGACTCAAAGGTCACATCCTTTGAGTCAACTAGAAAAACTGCAAATGGCCTCACCTCGGCCGTGGCCCCATAGATGAGCTGGTAGAAGCAGTGATAGGAGCGCTCGGGGTCACTGATCTTTCAAGTCTGTTGACTCAAAGGTCACATCCTTTGAGTCAACTAGAAAAACTGCAAATGGCCTCACCTCGGCCGTGGCCCCATAGATGAGCTGGTAGAAGCAGTGATAGGAGCGCTCGGGGTCACTGATCTTTCAAGTCTGTTGACTCAAAGGTCAAATCCTTTGAGTCAACTAGAAAAACTGCAAATGGCCTCACCTCGGCCGTGGCCCCATAGATGAGCTGGTAGAAGCAGTGGTAGGAGCGCTCGGGGTCACTGATCTGCACCACTCTGGACCGCTCTAGAAGGTACGAGCGAATGGCTGCACCCGACACACACCCCGCTGCATCGAACTGGATCTCTATGAACTTGCCAAAGCGACTGCAGGGCGAGCAGGGAGAGGAGGGAGAAGAGAGCAGGCAGGGAGAGCAGGGAGGGCAGGGAAGGCAGGGAGAGGAGGGAAAGGAGGGAGAACAGGGAGAGCAGGGAAGGCAGAGAGAGGAGGGAGAGGAGGGAGAGCAGGGGGAGCAGGGAGAAGAGAGCAGGCACAGAGAGCAAGATCATCAAACTGAATGAACGACTGGATCTCAATGAACTAGCCAAACGACTGCTGGGAACACGTGGGATTGCAGGGAGGGGGACGGGGGAACAACTGATTGATGCCAGCATGAGGGGGTAGATTGCGGAGGACGTAGTACAGGAAGAGGAAAGCAGTGAGGAGGCTGGGGGTGGGGAGAGGGAGATGGATTCTGGGCAGAGAAGTAGCAATCACAGGTTGTTTTCACTGAAGAATCTCATCTGAAGCACATGAACCAGCATAAGAAGCAGCTAGACTAGACATGCCTGGCAAGGAGGCAGGTTGCTGCAGAGGCAGCAGCAGCAGCAGGGGCAGCAGGGGCAGCAGGGGCAGCAGATACCTGGAGTTGTTGTTGCGCACTGTCTTGGCGTTGCCAAAGGACTCCAGCAATTGATTGGACTGGGCGAGCGAGAAGGAGGGATGATGGGAAGAGAGGAGAGGACAGGAGAGGAAAGGAGAGGAGAGGAAAAGGGGGGATGAGTCACAATGGTCTGGTCGGGACTCTGGAGGAGAAGGACCTATGGGACAGAATCATACTGCATGCTCTCTCGTCCCACCTAGAGCACTCTAAACTGGACTCGGGACACACAGAACTGCAGTGCGATCATAGCCTCTGTGATCCCGTGCGTGTCCTCAACGCTCCCTCCCACTAATTCCCAGCTGGCCCTAGACTCTCTTCTGAGTCCCGCCCCCCACAGTCCACCGCACTGTCCATCTGCACCCTCTCAGCCCATCTCGAGCACTTGGGACACGCAGAGCTGCGAGGCAATCATGGCCTCGTTCTTGGTGGCGCCCTTTCCACTCCCCTCCCCCATTCCACACTTCAGATGAAAGCCCAAACCCTAAAGCCTGGCCTAGACGCTCCCATCCCCCTCCCACTCCACCGCACACTTGCCCCACCTCGAGCACCCTAGACACGCAGAGCTGCGAGGTAATCATGGCCTCGTTCTTGGTGGCGCCATTGCCACTCCCCTCTGTCTCAATCCACACTTTCCAGCCCGACCTAAACGCTCCCACCCCACTTCCCAATCCACTGCACCCTCACACCCCACCTCGAGCACTCGGGACACGCAGAGCTGAGAGGCAATCATGGCCTCGTTCTTGGGCGCGCCCTTGCTGCCGTCATGGCCCGTGTCCCCCAGCCCCGCCAGGTACTCCATGACCAGCTTGGTCGTCTCCGTCTTGCCCGCCCCGCTCTCCCCACTGATCAGCACCGACTGGCTCTGCCCCGTGTCCAGCATCGACCTTCGGGAAGGGGGGGGGAGGGGAAGGGGGGGAAGGTGGGGTTGATGCGCGGTGGGGGTTGGGGAGGGTAAGGGGTTGGGAGGAGGGTGAAGGAGAAAGGGAAGGAGAAATTGATGGTGAGGGAGGGGCGATCGAGTGACAAGGGAAGCAGGGACTCCATTGGTCCCGTGTCCCCCAGCCCTGCGAGGTACTCCATGACCAGCTTGGTCGTCTCCGTCTTGCCCGCCCCGCTCTCCCCACTGATCAGCACCGACTGGCTCTGCCCCGTGTCCAGCATCGACCTTTGGGAAGGGGGGGGGAGGGGAAGGGGGGGAAGGTGGGGTTGATGCACGGTGGGGGTTGGGGAGGGTAAGGGGTTGGGAGGAGGGTGAAGGAGAAAGGAAGGAGAAATTGATGGTGAGGGAGGGGCGATCGAGTGACAAGGGAAGCAGGGACTCCATTGGTCCCGTGTCCCCCAGCCCCGCCAGGTACTCCATGTCCAGCTTGGTCGTCTCCGTCTTGCCCGCCCCGCTCTCCCCACTGATCAGCACCGACTGGCTCTGCCCCGTGTCCAGCATCGACCTGTGTGGGGTGGATGGAGGGGGAGGGAGGGGAGTGAAGGGGGGAGGGAAGGTGGGTGGGGGTTGGGCAGGGGAACGGGTTGGGAGGAGGGTGAAGGAGAAAGAGAAGAAGAGAGGAATCATGCCAGCCAGGTGCGAAGCGAGCCTGCGCCCCGCGGTACTGCGCTGCACCTACCTAGGTGAATCTTCTTGACAAATTGAAATACCTCCAGCGGACAACAAGCAGCAGCTCCCCTTTGCCCCCTCGACCCAGCACCCACCTGTAAGCATGGTCGGCGATGGCAAAGACATGCGGCCCCAGCTCGCCCAGCTGTGCCCCACGGTACTGCATCTTCATGATCGGGTGGTACAGCGCCGGCAGGCGCACAAACGGGTTCACTGCTATCAGGATGCTGCCCGTGTACGTCTGTGAGGTGAGGAGGGCGGGAGGGAGTGGACAGGGGGCGATTTCTGAGTCGACTCGTAAGTCACCGCCTCGGGTGCTCAAATCGATCCACATCATAGCATCAGGATGCTGCCTGTGTACGTCTGTGGGGTGAGGTGGGAGGGAGGGAGGGGAAGTGAGGTGACTTGAGTCGACTTGTAAGTCACCACCTCAGCTGCACAAAAGGGTCCCCGTCACCACTACAAAATGCTCCTGGGAACGTCTGTGGGCCAAAGCAGGCGGACGGGAGGTGAAAACAGGGAGAATGGGAATGTGATCTCAAGGTTGTGGAGTAGCGTTGAGGAAAAGGATGGGATGGAAGGAAACGGATCGCAAGGATAAAGCACTGCCAATGCCTCCCTTCTTGCTCTTGCCATCATTTTTGCGAGCACACAGCAGCAGCCCACCATCATTCCACTGTCCTGGCTCAGGTATGTCGCAGACTCACACTGATACTCGTCCCTCAATGCGCTAACGCACTCCACTTGCACGCATCCTGATGTGCCGATATATACCCTGCATTGTACACTACATGCTGCACAGCACTGAGAATGGGCAATATGCAGGCACAGCACCCCATGCACTCAGCCCTTCGCAGTGACCCGTACCCCTCGCACTCACACACATGAGATGAGATTCTTTTGGTAGTGTGTGGCAAGGTTGTGTCTACTTCTCTGGCGCCTCAGAAGAATTTCGAAGTGTTTCAACTCAAGAGTCGCAATGACTCCCCCTTCCCCACTGCACACCACGCACTCACATAGATGAGGTTCTTTTGGTAGCGCGTGGCAAGGTTGTGCAGCACACCAGGCTCGTGCAGGTGGGCGAGCTTGGTCATGTCGTCCACGAGCCCCAGGTCCTCCTCCTTGTGGTGGCATTCTGATGCCTCCAGGTGCGCCTGAGAACAGGAAGCGGTGGGGGAATGGAGGGGGGATAGAACGAGTGAGCATGCAGTGCAGGGAGCAGCAACAGGGCTCATGCAGGTGGGCGAGCTTGGTCATGTCGTCCACCAGCTCCGGTTCCTCCTCTTAGTGGTGACATTCTGACGCCTTCAGGTGCGCCTGGAGGGAGGGGGAGGATGGGGAGGGTTTGCGGTGAAGGGAAGAGGGAAGGGTATTGATGGAGAGAGCGGGTGAGCATGCAGGGACCCTAAGGGCCCGTGCAGGTGGGCAAGCTTGGTCATATTGTTCATGCCACGAGCCCCAGGTCCTCCTCCTTGTGGTGGCATTCCAACGCCTTCAGGTGCGCCTGGGGGAAGATGGGGAGACCAGGGGGGGAGGATGGTGATGGGATGTGATTTTGCAGCAGGAAGGAAGGGAAACGCGTAAACTGCGGGAGAGAAGGGAAAAAGGGGAGAAGAACAGTGAAGAGACATGATTGCAGGGGAAAAGAGGGGAAGGAATAGGAGATAGGTGACAAGTTATGGAGAGAGTAGGTGTGTGTAAGTGGGTAGCGAATAGCGTGAAATCTATGGCTCCTGACATGTGGGCAATTAACGCACGGCATCCACACACACATACACATTGCATTCAACCCTCTCACTACAGCTCATACGCCTTATGCGGCCGCACTGCTTTTGCCACGGCTACTGCCTCCGCTGCCACTGCTGCTGTCCTCATTTCAAACCCCCCCTTCCGCCACTCCGCCGTTTCTCCATGTTGCCTTGCAACACCTTGAAACACCCACTGCAACGCCACATCGTCCTCCCCTTCCCCCTCCCTTTCCTCCTTAGCACACCTTGCCAAAAAATAGAGTTAGTGAACTCAACCTCCTCCCCCCCTTCCCTCCCCCTCCTTTCGCCACCCCACCCAACGCACCTTGGCCAGCAAGTTTCGAGTCGACTCAAAGATCTCGTTCCCTCAACGCACCCCCAACGCACCTTCGCCAGAGGCCCCTTGCGGCCGATCACGTCTGCCTCGATAGCATCGCCATTCACTGCCGTAACCACCGCCTCCACAAACGCCTCCTCCTCATCCTTCACCCAGATGCGCGCGCCCACCGCGAACATCGGCGCGCACTGCGCACCGCTGGCGGAGGGCGGAGGTTAGGGCGGAGGGGGGCGGGGAGGGGCGGACGGGGACCGGATGTGGATATTGCGGGCTTAGGAGAACGGAAATTGAAGGAAAGGGGATGCGGAAAGAGGATGTGCGCGCGCCGCGCGGCCATGGGTGGAAATTGCTTGCGGAACGCGGGGATTCGGACAGCGGGGGAAGGGGAAGAAGGAAGGGGGGAAGGGGGATGGAATGGGGACAGCTACCGCCGTTACCCACCGGCGGGATGCGCGCAGATTGTGCGGAGATTGCACAGCACGCGGGGCTTGAGGGGAGGAAAGGGGGAAGGGGGAAGGGGACGGTAAGGGTGCGCTCGAGGAGGCACAGGACGGGGAACGCGCTCAAAACACGCGGCTGCATTAACGCGCGTGACGCAACCAACTACGGGGGGAATGGGAGGCATGGGTTACCAGGGCTTGTCGGAGGAAGAAACCAAGGGTTAAACTGGTTAAATGAGGGAGATTTAATGGATGCTCAATCGGAGACTGATCTGACCGGTGTTCCAAACACACGCGACACCGGTGCGTGTGAGAAATTACAATCTGTACGCGACATCCCGCCCTGTGCGACATCCCTCCCCGTGCGACATTTTCCGCCCGTGCGACATTTTTCTGTCCATGCGCGGCAATGCCGTCCCTGGGAGCGATGATCCGCTATCAGGACCTACTGGAAGGCGTCACGCGCACATGCCAAGCCGCATGCGTTGGCCGATGCATGTGTCGTTCCGGTAGAGCGTAGCTCCAAAAAGCACGTACCGAGCGGCGCGTTAGGACTCGTCAGTAGGTGTTCGATGATGGGATTTGCCCGAGGTGCTGCTGACGTGGGGAATGCCTAAGTGCGAGTGGAATGCGACTACCAGCGGGCATCAGGTGATGAACATTAGGGACCTTGGCAAGGAAACCAGAGCCAGTGTAGAATCTGGTGGGGAGTGAGTTGAGTTGAGACCAAAGCGAGGGTGGAAGGGGGGAAACGAGTGGTACAAAGGGAATGTCAGGATGGTGGAGAAATCTGGGAGGGTGCTGGTGGCAACTTCAAGGTGGGAAGAAATCGTTTGTAATCACTTCTCTCTGGTGCTCCTCAGTAAAGCAACACATCACTTTCCGCCTTCTGTATGTAGATGCTCGCGTATTCTTCTCAACTTAACAATTTTCAACCTAAGGCTGCTCAGCATTTATCTGCATATCTGGCTCTTGCTTCTATACATTTCATCCTATACAACTTTTAATTCAATTAAATTCATTTTGGAAGTGCTGCGATCAGAAGTTGATCGTAGCCCAGGATCTACTCAGGAAGGTTCGCACGCAGTAAAGAAGTGTTGGTGGGCCCTTGACCTCAATAGCAGAGTGAATGTAAAATGCTTGAGATGAATTAAAACATGCAAATACAGGAAATATAAATATGAGTACAGGGAAGACGAAACGACCTAGCTAGCCATGTACTCTAAGGGGTACATTCCCTTATTCAAATACATCTCCAACCGTGCGGCGCGTACAGTTTCGTAATTGTTCCAGCCAAAACCATCCTGCCTGCAGCTGCCCGATGTCGTCTGCTTCCGACGGTCCAGATGTGCTGTAACCGTCTGACTCTTCGGTTCAATTCCAACTGTCTGACGCTTCGCGTTCATTCCCGATACTGCGTGCTTCTCTTTGCTGCGGTGAGGAGTGCACAGTAATATCAAATATTACTATTCGTAACACCCCCCTTCACTCCTGGCCGTAGCTCGACTTGACCTGCTTGACCACGCCGCTGAGTTCGGAGCAGTGCTGATACTGCTGGCGTGGCAGTCGCTTCGTGAGAAAGTCTGCTGCCATGTCACCGGTCGGGCAGTAGGTCAAGTTGACCTTGCCCTTGTCCACCTCGTCCTTCACGAAGAAATACCGCAGCGCGATGTGCTTGGTGCGGTTGACGAAACCAGGCTTGTTCGCGATGCGAATCGCGCTCTGGTTGTCGCAGTGAAGGCGGAATGTGGGCGAAGCTGGAATTTTCGCCTCTTGCAGGAGTTCCTGCAGGTAGAGGCCTTCGCGAACTGCTGCGGTTGCTGCGATGAATTCCGCTTTAGCTGATGACAGGGCAACCAATTCCTGCTTCTGTGAATTCCAGGAGATTGGTCCCGATGGCTCGAGTCGGAACAGGAAGCCAGTCCTGGACCGTCGATTATCAGGGTCTGCTGCGTGATCGGCGTCCACGTAGCCGACGAGGTTGAAGGATGGAGTTGGTGCAGTTGAGTAGCACAGTCCAATCTTGGGCGTTGAAATGAAGGATTGAAGAGCGCGCTGCAGATCCAGGAGATTTTCAGCCGTTGGTTTGCGTGAGTACTGCGCAAGCTGACTTGCGATGTACGAGAGATCTGGCCTGCAGGTGACAGAGGCGAAGAGAAGGCATCCCAACTGCTGCTGGTAAGTCTGAATCCCAGCAGGGGATAGGGCTTTGTTGTCGGGTTTGTGGTTCGGTCCGGGGGTTCGGTAGGGAGTTGAGAGAGGTGCGGGTGAAATAATGAACCGCTTCCCTAACTCCTCTGCGTACTTAGCCGCTGAGAGGTGAATGGCCTCAGGTGCGTAGGAGATGTTGAGGCCTAGGAACTGCTTCACCTCGTAGTTGCACGTGATGTCGACGCGCCCCGCCAAGGCTTTCTCGAACTGCTCGAGAAGCTCGTTGTTTGAGCCTGTGTAAAGCAGGTCGTCGACGTACACCGTGAGGAGAATGTATTCGCCGCGGAAATCGCGGCGGTACATTCCTGGGTCGTGCGGCATCTGCTTGAACCCGATTTCAAGCAGGATGTTGTGCAGGTACTGCTGCCACAGCCTCGGAGCCTGCTTGATGCCGTACAGTGACTTGCGCAGCTGACATACGCGCGTGTCTCCTTCGCCGTAGGTGAGTGGCTAGATGCTCCACGTAAATCACAGCGTCCACTAACGCGTACAGGAACGCGTTCTTCACGTCGATCTGGCGGAGTGGTAGGTGCCTTGCAGCTGCGATGGCGAGCAAGATGCGGGCAGAGGTGTGACGGCTAACTGGGGCGAACGTCTGGTCGAAGTCGATCCCGTGCCTCTGATCGTAGCCGTGAACCACCCAACGTGCCTTGAAGCACTCGATCGTCCCATCCGCTGTGGTCTTCACGCGGAAGACCCACTTCCCCGAGAGGATCCTTGCGCCTTTGATTGCTGCGCGGTCGACGAGTACCCAGGTGTCCGGTGACTCCAGCGCCTTGATTTCCGCGTCCATCGCCTCACGCCACTCCTTGCTGTGTGGTCCAGAGAGAGCCTCGCGCGGATTTCGGGGCTCGATGATGCGCGGCGCCTTCGAGGTTGCGGTGTGAAGCCCGAGCAGCTGCAGTCCTGAGACGGTGCTGTCGTGGCGACGTTGCGGGATGACTTCCTGCACATCGTCGTCATCGCTTTCAGGTTCAGGTGGTGCTGATGGTGTTGCGCCTCCGCCGCTTCCGCCCGTTCCGCTTCCGCCTGTTCCTTCTCCCGAGGAATCATTGTCGTCGTCATCGCTCCTGCGCCGATTTTCCCATGTGAACTCGCCCCTTGTATCCTGCTCCAGGATTGCTGCAGCGGCTTCGTCTTCGGGCGTTGCGTAGCTGTGGCCATCGTTGGCGTAGACGCGATTCGCATTCGTCTGCTCGTCGTGGCGAAATTGCCCGAGGAAGAGACGCTCGTAGAAGATAACGTCGCGAGCGTGAGCGGTTTTCTGACTGAGGAGGTCCAGCACGATCCACGCCTTGTACTCGTGACTGATGCCAAGATGGATCCCCCAGCGCGCGCGGCTGGCGAACTTGCCGATGGTTGAAGTCGGCGGGCGGTATTGCACCATGCACCCCCATACGCGGAGCATGGAGGTGTCCCCCTTGGTTCCTGTCCACTTGACGTGCGGGGACAGGTTGCCGGTAATTGCGGTGGTCGAAAGCAGGTTGTGCACCCGCACGGCGTGGTGCATTGCGTAGGTCCAGTAGATCGGCGGCAATTTCGACTGCTTCATCAGCGCGCGCACCTTCGTCATCAGCGTGCGGTTCGTCCGCTCAGCTACGCCCTGCTGCTGGTGCGCATATGGGAGGGAAATGTGATGCTCGATCCCCTTTTGCGTCAGGAATGTCTGCATCTGGTTGCTCCTGAACTCTGCCGCGCCGTCAGATTGCCAGATCTTGAGTTTCTTCCCAGATTGTCGCTCCGCATGTGCCAGCCAGAGGTGAAACACTTCGTAGGCTCTGTCGCGTGACTCCACGTTCGCGACCCACACATAGCGTGTTCCAGCGTCGATGAAAGTAAGGGTGTATAGCTCGTCCTCGACTCCGCAATGCCCCACGTTCAGGAAATCGCTGTACACTTTGTGCAGCTTGGGGTAGCGGTTCGTTCCAGGTTCGAGCAGCGGGAACGGTTGGTGGCTCAGCGCAGCTTCAGGGCAGACGGTGCAGTTGCGCGGATGCGTCGCGCCTCTCACTTCGGAGCCATCAGGGCGCAGGAGTGCGCCAGGAGCGAAGACGCCTGCGTCGATGCAGTTTTTCAGCGTCGCGCGTGAAGGGTGTCCGAGGCGCTGGTGCCAGAGTGCATCGTCAGCGCGAAAGCCGGAGGTGCGCATGTAGCGCGTTTCAGAATAGCTAGGCAAGAATGATTGAACTAGCAGAAGTTTGGGTACAAATATGAAACCCTAGTTGGGGTTGTACCCCATATTGGCTACCCCACTACAGCCTACAAGCATAATACAGTTTAACACACCCCCATAGGCAAAGTGGGGGAGAACAAAGGGTCACAAGACCAGTCCAGCAAAGCAAAGCAAAGCCCAGGGTGGATCACAACGTCACCACACTCCGAGCACAAGTAAAGGCCACAAGGCCAGTTCACATGCAGTGCTAGATATAGTACAAGACAAGCAACACAGTGATCAAAACCTAGCAAGCAAGCAACAAGATATATATAAAGTACAGTACAAAGAATGTCAAGCAGTGAGCAAGTGAGGA